GTTCAGGCATAAAACAGATGCAGGTTAAAGATTTTACCGAGGGGGGGTAAGGACATGAAAAACTACAAAGTTCCTCTTTCAGCAGAGACCTATAGCGCTAGTACCATTAGCATTTTTCACCTAGTTAGCATAATTTGATTCCTCTCTGGCTTTGAGCAAGTACCCGTCATTAAAAATGCATCAGTCTCAATTAAGGTGAAAACACGTTCAGTCTTTATGTTCTTGGTCACACTATTTCCCCCCACCACAACATCTAAATTATGTGCTTCTCAAAATAACAACATAACTATTTTAATATCACACACTCGGACACATGAGGGGATCCTTTGTTAGAGCTAACAATGTGACATACCACACTGGGAACTAATAATTTATAATCATTTTTAGGGGATGACATATTTATTTTTGTGTGGATATAAAATGTTATGACTGGCAGAGGGTAAAATTTCTTGTTAAAACAGACCAAGTCTGCTGTGTACAAATGGCAACACAAGCAAACACACAACAGACTGGCTCTGTCACCTTGCTCGACAGAGCAGCATCACTAATGACTCTTTATGTCCACACTACAATACAGCCTACAGTGTCCCTGTGGCTGAAACTGAGTATAAAGTTAGGATTTCTGGCATTGTCTAAAATGATGTGAGAGTCTGTGTGGCTGTGAGTATAAAAAATGTAAACTCCCCCAAAAGAATCGCCTTTAAAAGTCAGTTGAAGTACTGAATATGCAGACAAAACATCGGGTCTATTTCTTCAGACACAGATGATGAAGGCCATTTTTTTAAAGACGTTAGAAGTCATTCTGGCTCCCAGACTGACGTCTTTCAGCATAACAAGGGGGAATTTAAGCCGGATATTTTTTCTTGGGAGACGCTCAGCAATAGTGCTTTCATGTTATAGAGCTGTGTCTCAACTCTAACTTCCTTTCATATCCATCTCCCTGTAGCAGAAATCTTCCCTATAGATGGAGAACGACAGAAAAATGCAGGTGGAATGGAGGTGATTTTTGCCTCAGGAGGACTGGGTGATGCCGTATCATTTTCTGGTGTTTTTTTAAAGTCCTCTATCCTCTCCTCCACTTCCAGGTTCACTTTTTATTTCTGCTGGCTTGTTTCCTGCCTCTCTCTCTCTCTCTCTCTCTCTCTCCTCTCTCTGACCTGACTGCACAGGTATCACATTTCTCGTTCATAAGGCTGACATCCATCCTTCTTTGCACAGTGTCCCATGTGACAGCTGAGAGCACGCCAGACTGATGTCTACAGCCGTTTCGCTCCCGTCTTCACCTGACAAAACAGCCGATTTTGAGCAGAGCTGTTTGTTCAAAACAAATGTTGTTATAGTGTAAAAAAATTAATATAGTTTTAGGCAAATGTTTCATGACAAAATCAAAGAATACAAGAGACAGCTTTTAATTGTTCTCTACATGACCTACTTTAATATTGCAGATACTGATGAATGATTTTCATTCATTAGAAGCACAGAAAACCTTGTATTGCTTCCTCCTTTTTAATCAATAAGGATTAATTAAATGAAATTAATGGACAAGAATGATTGTTTAGTCATTCATGGTCTGTAGGTTTCCAATTGAGACCTTCCTTGCTGAACAAAAGACAATTATCAACGTCCTAACCAGGCGTAATAAGAGAGAAAAGGTGTCAAAGACAGGTGGGACTGACTCTTTTTTTTCACACTTCACATTGATTTTTATTCAACTTTAAAGATGACAAAACCTGAATCTGAAGGAAACACAGGTTTGCTGGCCGATTCAAAAAAGTGAAAGAATGCCCCAAACCAACAAACTGCTCTGTAACAAAAGAAAAAAAAAAGGACTGGGTTGTTGAGGTTTATTATCACAGCTCACTAACGAACTGATGAGTCTTATATGTGTGTGTGAGAGAGAGAGAGCCCAAAACAGAAAGACAGATACATTTATAAATTCATTGAACATTGCACTGTAAATCTTTCTAAGGACTTAGCAGTGCAATAACATCACCATTTTTGTGTTTGTTAAGCATTATACAGTTGGACAACTTAAGCGCAGCTAAATGCTAAAGCTAGCTTGACAACATATTTATTATAATAATAACAATGGTCAACATCACGATGCATAGTAAGTATAATTGTATCAATGTTTGACCTCTTTGGAAAGATTTAGCACATCTGTGAAGTTCGAAGTACACGGAAAAATGAAGCTTCTCTTCAGGTATTCCATCATAAATTGGAAGAATTGGAATTTGGATTTCATTGTGGGGCTGGACGAAGGTTGTAAATTCAACAAAGTCATTGGGATCCATTACCAGGGAACCATGAATGCCATTACAATGTTTTATGTCAATCCCTTCAATCTGTGTTAAAAGATTTGATGAATACATTTTTTACAAGATGGAGGCTCTAGGATTCATCCTCTAGAAATATGAATATCGTGATCAAGTTTTATTTTATTTTTCCCCCACATTTCCAAGTGTCAACACACTTGGAAGTTTGATGACTAAGGCCACTAGGAATTATAAAAATGGGACCATGAATGGCTGAATAACATTTCATGCCAAACCATGGACCACATTATGGGCTGACCAATCACCTGACATTACTTATACTGAAAACCCTCCTTTGGTATGGTTAGAATTATTTGTAGTAGCATCCTTCCTTGTTGAGATAAACAAATCTCAGTTTTCTATTTCACGCCAATGATTTTGTGAAATAAAATTTTCCAAACAGTTTAACACATCCTTGTTCTATTTACTTGTGTTGCTGCTACAGATGTCACATAATGACAGCTGTTAACAGCGAGGACTGCCCATTCCCCATTTTCAGCGACAACACAGAATGAACATCTCCCAAACACAAGCTGGTGAAGGTATTTACAGCTATAAAAAGGTGACTGGCTCTGTGGATGTTCTGCTGTTAATCTTTAATTGGACTCCAAGAGGATTGGAAACAGTTTTTTCTGGCATCAGCAATACAGAGCATCCGGTCTGCCAATACAAGAGAGAAGAGAGGAAGAGAGGGAGGATTTTAAAGAGATTTGCCAAAGGAGACTAGGGGGTCCCGGTGCACAAATCTGGCAAGGGGCTGAAGAGCTACACAAAACCAAGCGACACAATAGAGCAACCTGTCTGTTGTTGTTTTCAGAATTTAGCTAGCACTATAGGATACTGGATGCCCTATAGGGAATATTTCAATAATGAAGTCTCCCATTTTAGCCAATGGACAGGAAAAGCCTTTTCTGTGAGGGTATACAATGCACAGCAATCAATCCCCCTCAATGCCACACAATACAGCTCCAATTGTGCACATTCTTTTTGTTCGCTAATAGTGAGAGTGCGCCTACATCAACCCTCAGTCTGACAGTGTACCCCCAACAGAAAGAGGGATATGAGAACAGGGCTATTCTTCACGGGGTAAACACGGTCATAAACTACCCCTGGAAGAGGCAATTACTCCATGATCTGACACTGGAACCCATTTCTGCCAATCGAACAGCAGGAGGGGCCTCCAACAGGCTGCTAACCAGGTTAGCCGCGCTGCTAACACAAGCCTGCTTGCCACGCCAAATTGGTCTGGTAGATTTAGTGTGGCTCTCTCTCTCGCTCCCTGAACCCCAGCAGCCATCTGATGCTGCTCCTCTCTGCGGGACCAGCAGGAAGGCTAATCTAGTCCACGCTAACTAGCTAGCAAGCCAGGGGGGCCCTGCCAAGTGTATTTGATTTATGGGTCAGCGCAAAGGCTAATGCAGGCTGCTTTGCATATGTCCTGGATTAGCTCTTTGCTTCACTTTGAGCTTTCTCATACCTGCTTACTGTTTATGGTATTCATTGTATCCCCCTGTTTTGCTGCTGCATTATACAGAATGTGTTACCTGTCTGAAATTTACAGTGTGCTGTAGTGCAGAAACACAAGCAGAATGGCTATAATTCAGGGATTCAGAGGAAATGGGGCTAAAAGGGCTGAGAGGGTTTGATAAAAATGCAATGAGCTCATGTGAGAGGTAGGCAACCACACAGAGCGGAGCACTAAGGGCCTCAGCTGCATTATTACTTCTATTTATGTGCTGCAACCATCACAGGTCCTACCTGACAGCTGGGGAGCGTCTTCTGATCAAATGGGAAGCAGCAAAGGGAATACGTAAATAATCAGTTGCTTTGCACTGAATTATGGTGAGTTTATGATCTTGGGGTTGGCATGCCTGCGATCTGGTAGATTGATTTTCCAAATATAATACTGTGTTTTTAAAAAATCGGGACACTGTGTAAATTGTAATTATAAATGTGATGATTCGCAAAACTATTGAACCCCATAATAAATGGAAAACAACACAAAGACAAAACAATGTTGCACCATTAACTAGCTCAGTCTTACTTATTGAGTGTGAACCCCTCCCCATCTTTACTTCAGGAAGACTCTCTGGGATGCTGCGTTTGTAACCAATCACTCTACCAACCTGTAGCCAATTAACCTCATTAACTGTGAGCTGTTCTACCAGGTGCTTTGCTTAAGCATTTTACAACTTTTCCAGTCTTTTTGGCCCCTGTCCCAACTCTTTTGAAACATGTTTCTGGCATCAAATTCAAAATAGAATTTTCTTCAAAACACAATTAAATGCTGGTGTCGTCTTTGTGCACTTAAAGTCAAATCTGGGGTTTAAATGTTTCACAACCACATTCTGGTTTTATTTACATTTTACACAGAACTACTTCTTGTTTGGAAAATGGGTTGTAATAAATAAATAGAGTATTTTGAAGGGATATCTTTATCTTTTACTTTAGGCTAGCCTTTAAAAACTACGACTGAATAGTCTCTTAAACAAAGATCACCAAAACAGGTCATGTGCATGTGTTAAACTTGGGGCGCTAAGGCGTCAACATACTGTATCTACTCTGCGTGCCGTGAGAGTCCCTGTTTTACTAACATTCATAAAATCAGTTGTTCAGATGAATTCCACACGGGCCCGACCCATCCATGCTGATGCATTTATTTAGAAAGCAAAGCCGAAGCCACACTTTAGTTTGCATATGCATCTTTAATCAGGCGGCTTGACCGAAACACCTCTCTTATTTGCAAAGGTGTGCAGTGCTTCCTGCACATATCTTAACACAATGTCAGTCAGTCCTGATACAAAAACAAACAAACACATTTATAAAGTAAAATTTAAGCACCCAACATTTTGTATGGACACAAGCCTCTCAAATTTAGCAAACCACTGCCACAGATAACTTTTGTTTTGCTCTGTAGAAACTCAAGCTGTTGTTGTCAAAGGGGATTTGTGGAGTCTCACAGAGGGAAACAAACACACAACCTTGTAGCCCGAGATGATAAGAAATTCACACAGTTTTTCCTCCTATTGAACAGCTGCATTAAGCACGCGCTGTCTATGCCACAGAGACATCTCAAAAGTATGCTGCTGTTGTTGCTCCACCGTCCTCAGAGGAGCCAGGCCCTGCAAGTAAGAAATAAAAGAAGAAGGAGCCGCATATATGACAACAACAGACTCTACAATATCCTCCTCTGAAGGGAGACTCAGTCCCCTGCCATGCGAGGCTCACCTTTGTGTCTCTGCTGTGATTGTTTGTAAATGATGGCAGCATTGATTTCAGCCTCACATGGGAGTTTCTGTGTCTGTGTAATTTGGTGAGGGGGGGGGTGAAGGCGGTAAAATGCTGATAATGGAGGTGGAAACAGGAGAGATAAAAGCCACCCACACAGAGATTGCAGCAGGCAAGAACAAACAAAAAGCACAAGATGTATAATAAAAAAAATCACTGTACAGGGAATAACCTATAGGAGAGAAACCTTAAGAGACACCAGTTTGTAATTAACTCAAATGAACCTCATTGTAACTGGTAGCTCCGAAAGTGCAAGGCAAACCAAACATGTGGAAAATATTAACTTATATTTCTAGTCAGCATCATTTTTGCTTCACTTAAAATGTAACCCAGGTAACAACATATTACCTCTGTCCATAGGATATATATATATATATATATATGTATGTGATACATGTATGTGAGAGTTTGATTTTATAAAAGTGTCATTCAATAAATAATGTATGCTATTGGACGATAAGATACCTGAAACGCTGGTAAATGGCACATGGGATTACTGCCATCTGCTGGTTGAAATTATTCATCACAGTTTGCCTGATCTGAAAGGTCCAAAAACAAGTATATTACAGTATATGGTAAATGTAAGTTTTTTATGCTTTAACATTTTAATTAAACAAATTTATGAATGAAACCTTTATTGGCCCTAGGGGAATCTAAACTGCGTTAAGAGCATAAAAACGCAATACAAACAGACATAACCAGGACAGCACATAAAACACATTAAAGTGCCAAATGATTAAATGAGGGATTTAAGTAACAAGTTAAATAAAGTGCATACTGTATAATCAGAGTTTACTTAACAGCTGAATACTGTGTGATATAAAGGGTGTAATGCCTCTTCTCTATACCTGTGCCCATAAGCCAAGAGTTCATACTCCAACCAGAGTGAGAGGGTCTGCTACAAAGAGTTTAAAACCAAAGCTATCTGGAATTATGCACTGGCAGTAGTGCTTCATGAGCTTGAATTTGTATATATTTTACAAAAGTAGCAGTTGAATCCTGGGTTAAATATTTCAAGAAATATCAGTGTCATGTTTGTTATTAAGTATGAGATTCAAACGGTTTTATTTGTAATTGTGTTTTTCTTTCCAGAGATAAGAGACACTAAAACATCAGCCAGTATAGATTGTAGTACTCTGTTTAATGGTTTTTCATAAAGGAAATCTGCATAAATATGTGATATACAGCAATTTCTTAAACCCTGTTTTAATGGTTCATTCAAATCATGAATGGTCACTTGCAAAAATCACAATTTGTCAGTAAATGAGTTGGGCTTCATTGGTGCAGCTAGAAATCATGTTTCAGTTGCTCTACACACAAAAAATTAAATTAAAACTCAGCAAGCATCTTCTGTTCCTGTCAGACAGCACCATGGGAAATCAGGGAAATGCATTTGAAAAAAAAGAAGTATGACAATAAGTGGATACTATTGCGCTAAATGACAGTGTCTTTATGATAGTAGAGAATAGGCTGCTAAGAATGTGAAATCCTGTGAAGATTTGAAAAGTGGCATTAAATGTTCACTCATCCTTACTGCTCTTTATAGAACAAATGCAGTGTGTGTTATTCATTTGCAGCTTGACCATCTGAGAAATTCGAAGAGTTTAAGGGGTTAAATTGGACATATTGAAATAGTGATGATAGACATCAACTTCAAAAGGCCTTTCCTTGAAGCTTCATTACCATCTGGACAGTGTATGGCTAGCTTATTTGCAGAAGTCATATCATGAAGGAAAAACAAAAATCTTTCTTTGTTGGCTTTAATGAAATGTATGAATTTGACTGAGATTTGACTTCTTTTTAGGTTAATTCAAAAAACTTTCTAGAAAAATATGCCTAGATGCATTTTACTCCATGCATCCTGCAGATCTGCTGTACTGTTGGCTTGTTTGTTGGGAAGTAAATCCATACAAATTGACAGGGGTGAACACCTGATACATTTCTAGTGAGAAACAGCTTTCTGTGTGGCATTTCAATAAAGCATGTAATATATGATCTATACCCATTGCTTTCAGCGTGAGGAGTGTTTAAGGGTGAAGAATGGATTTCCTTTCAGGTCCACATATCTAGTTCCCAGAGTCTTTTATATACATGTAACTTGCAGCAGGCTCAAATTTCCAATCCCACAATGCAAAGCGCCAGCAGCAACAAAGATACCAGGCTCAGTGTGGGCGTGGTCATAGATGCTTTACCTGAGGAAGGAAGAACAATGTAAGAACCGAGAAGGCAAAAAATCTTGAACTGTCAAATCAACAAGAAATATTAAGCCTTACCCATAATCCTAATTTTCCTGACTGGGCCGTCTCCTCCTTCATAACGGCCGCGTACCATCAGCTCATAATCTCCAAACTGAGGCATGGGGAAGTCCATGAAGTGCCAGCCAGTGATGTAAACCTTCCCGTAGATGTAGCCGGTCTTTCTGAACAGGACCTGTAAATCATAAAATTTCCAATTTAGTCTTCATCATAATAACAAAAAAACATTATTAGGCTAAATAAAAAGTTCCAAAGTTTTCACACCCACCTTGTAATACAATGGGAAGGAGATATTGCCAAACCAGTCATAGGAGATATGATCCCACCACACATACATCCATTGTCCTGTCCAGGTAACATATTTCCACATCCTGGGAGGGTCTGGTGGTGCTGTGAACAAAAAAAAAGTATTCATTCATTTTTATTAAGATTAACTTAAATTAAATTTCAGTTTTTACACTCTGTAAGTCATGAACACACACATAGACTGAAATATACACACACATGCAGAAACAGAATCCTATGGACATGCACTAATGAGAGAAGCCAGAGTGACGGAGCGGCCCACAGCGGGCGCTCCTGAGCTGATCGGTGCCTTGCTCAGGGGCACCTCGGCAGTGTTCAGGAAGTAATCTGGCACCTCTCCAGCTACCAGACCAACTTCCATATTTGGTCCGCACCGGGACTTGTACCGGTGACCCTCCGGTTCCCAACCCAAGTCCCTACAGACTGAGCTACTGCCGCCCAGAACCAATGTGTATCTGTAAATCAGTGTAATAAGATAATTGACATGAAATGTTGAGTGACTGTTCTTACGTGGTCTCTTTGTGAACATCTCACAGTGTTCCCCTGGCGGTCCGAGGCCAGCTCCGTTAAAGGCACGACCTCGATGAGGTAGTGAGAGTCTGGCAGCATGTTTTCCAGCCTCGTCTGATTGACTGCGTGGGACAAATATGCGGTGTGCTCCTGGCTCTGGATCATCGTACTTTCTCCAATATTTGACCTGATTTTCCAAGAAACATTTTTTTTAAAAATAAATCACGTGTCTGTTTTTTTTATTGATAAACATAGAAAGCAAAGCGATAGTATTTTCCCCACAGTGCCAGCCAACCAAAATAGAGAGTCCAAATACAATGGTCAACATTTTCACAGATAAATCTTATTTCAGGTCATTGCCCATAATTATTAATCTCACTGTCTGTGTTGTCACCGTAATTGGTTTAAATAAGAATCAGCTAGCTGACCTTTGTTTCTTCTGGGAACAACCCACACACTATTCACTTTCATCTACCGTACTTCCCAAGTACTTGTGTTGGATGATAACCTGTAGCTTATCTTTTGTGATTGAAGTACATTTTTTTGCATTGGTAGCTATACCAGAAGTTAACAGCTAATGTGTTGCTAAACTCGCTAACTGTTATTTATTTGTTTATTTAGACAGGGACAGTGTACAGCCTATTAGCTTTACCAAAGTTAGCTATAGGCTAAGCTAAGCTGTAGTCCCATTTTAATTCTAAACTTGTTGTACATTATTAGCCCTGAGCATGTTTACAAATGACACAATAGCTAGCTAGCTTGTTTGCCTAAACTTTTGCCCCTTTTGTTTCTGATTTGTAACTATTATCATTTCAAATATAACTATATACTTTTTTCAGTTTCATCACAGCTTCCAGAAAATAAAATTAATAGAAAACTGCTATGTTTACAATTTGTTGGAAGCGTATTTAGCTTACATTTGCACCTACTTGGATAGGTAGCTAGATAGCTTGATAGCTTGCCAGATAGCTCTGTCATAAGTTAGCCATTGTTTTAGTCCATATTCAGCTCATTCATTTTAAACATTAAAAAGTATTCATGATATGAACTCAAATACTGAAAACAGTAACATTTCTACAGTTTTTGATAAAGTAAACATCCATCAGTTGTGTGGGACTTGCACAGTAAAAACTCTGTACCTGGTATCCCTCAATGTACTGTTGCAGGCCTGTACCAGTGTCGACCACTGGCAACCACCAGACCAGAGCTTCAGTAGAGGACACCGGTCTGGCATATACGTCTGTGGGAGACTCTGTGGGTACTGGAGATGACAGATAAAGCAAAAAAAAGGCAGATAAACTGCTTTAGAGTCACACCTTTTATTTTTCAAGAGAATTTCAGAACCCAAACAACAAATGAAATCCTCACCATCTCTTGGGTAGTAGATGACCTTGGTGAGGCTGTACGGTCCGTCTCCTTTCACATTAAACGACTTGATCTTCACCTGAAACTCTCGCACCTGGAAATCCTCTTCTGTTGGGATGAAGTAGGAGTCTCTGTGGACATGACGCCTCGTCTCGGGGTCTGAAATGGTCTCGTACCACCAGTCGTAAGCATCATGAGGCTTGAATGCCACAATGTAGCCAAACTTTTTGCCGGAGAAAAACCATGGCTCTACAGGCTAAAAGCCAGGGTTAAAAGAAAGTAAAAACCACTTATAAGTTTCCAAGAAATTTTGGTATAAGATCCAGTAAGATTCATCGACTGAGGGGTTACTTACAGTCCATGTGATGACAATTTCGCCATTTCTACCTCCAAAGCCGGCTACATCAGTGGGAGAAACCACTGGAGCTGAGAAGAACAAAAAGTAATTTAAATGCTCTCCCCCTTTCATTTCCTGTCCTAACTAAAAAGTGTGTCCAATAAAAGTCATCTCTTCTTACCAGCATCCCAGGTTTTGATCTTGAGGGAGGGGATACTAGCCTCACCCGAGCCGTA